TGGTCTTTCACATTAAATTCCAGTGAAATATATTTATGTTTGTGGTTGTAATGTGACAAAATATGGAAAAGTTCAAGGGGTATGAATACTTTTGCAAACCACTGTATGTATAAATACAAATAAAGTTGTTTTGAAAATTATCGAAGTTGCAAAATCTAAAAGTTAAAGCACCCATCTCCTAAATAAGCTGAATGTTTAGAAATATGAGTGGCTAAAATAGCACCAAGTACGCACAAGTTTTAAATATGAAAAAAAAAACTTAAAGGAACACCTCCTACCTCACGTGAATTCTGACTCAGCATTCACATATTTGTTTACTTCACTGGGCTCTATGACTCCCAGTTCCCCTTGAGCACACCATGGATTGGCATTTATGGCAAGTTTTCCTGGAACAGGAACTGGTTAACCAAAACATCCATTTAGAGGTAAACAATAAAAAATCACATTTCTTTACAGGACTGTGTTTCTGTAGTTACATCACAGCCTGTGTGTCAGTAAAAGGTGTCAGAGGCTTTATAAGCACCCTCATTGGTACCATCTGTGTCCACATCCTTTCACTGAACCTGGGCTTATAATTTACTGAAACGGGGAAATAATCTGCATCCTCTTTTCTTATTTCTTGTGAGAACCAGTCGTACAGTTTTCCATCTTTTGCTCATAATAGCTGCGGTCTGATCGACCATCATTTCATAATCTGATCAAGATAATCTCACAGCAGTTTGGAGCAAAGATAAAAGGAGAAAATCTGAACCCCCCATTCTTCCTCCAAGCATCTCCTCACTAACAATGCCAGCACAGGTGGGCCGCCTGCTGTTTCAAATGGACAAGAGCAGCAGCAGAGATGTGAGACCATGGCAGGCTGCCACTGTGGAGGCCTGAAGCCAAAACCTTCCCTCCCTTCGCCTCGTCTCAGAATCCTTTGTATCCCTCCCTCCTGCTGGTCCCTGAGGGCCAAACCGCCCACAGTGAATAGATTTTTATCATGCTTCTGGTAAAAGAGGCTCAGCTTTTGACTGATCCCTGTAAACTTAAAAAGCCAGCTGTCCTTATGTAGTGTAAATTTATCTCACAACCCCAGTTTGTAAAACATTGAGATGTAAAATGTAAATAAAGAAAGTAATGGTTTGCACAGCAGTAAACACATTAAAAGGTATTTAAATGTGTTTAAATACCTTTTAATGTGTTTAAACACATTAAAAGGTATTTTTTTGGACATCTCAAGGTCTTTTTGAAGTTGATGGCAGTAACTCATGACATGGTCGTGTCTTTTACTTTATTCTTTTAATAGCAGTCTGTAAACATCTAGGAACCGATGAGACCAGCTGCAGGAGGTTTTGGAGAGGAATGTTGTCCCATTCTTCAGTCCTGGGTTGTCTTTGTTGGGTTTTTGTTTCATGATTATCAAATGTTTTCAGTGCTAAACTGGTCTTTTTACAGTCCAGTTCAACACCTGAACTCCTCTATTACAAAGCCATGCTGCTTGAATTGTTGCAGGCTGAAATATGCAAGGCCTTCCCCAAAAATAAGTTATCTAGATGGGAGAAGAAGTTGTTCTAAATCCTGGAAAAAAATTCTGCATTGATAGTGCCTTTCCAGATGTTCCTATCAATGACAATAATACACCCCTATACCTTCAGAGAGGCAGGATTTTTGAGTCGTGCATTCAAAACAAGAATAAGGTTTCTCTTTACACTGCAAAAAATGTCCAACTAACCAAGTTTTAAAACCTTATACCCAGCCAAAATGTCCTGTTGATCTTATTTTGAGACCGATTTCCTAAACAAGAACTGATTGTGCAAGAATAATAATCTTGTTTTCAGAATGTGTAAGATTATTTGTCTTGTTAGRCTGAAAATTTGACTCAAATTAAGTGAAAACTTTTCTGCCAATGGAGTAAGAAAATTTCACTTGGTAAGATTCTTGAAATAAGAAAAATTGTGTCAAATCAAGTATTTTAAGAATCTTACCAAGTAAAATTTTCTTACTCCATTGGCAGAAGATTTTGAATTAAATTGAGTCAAATTTTCAGGCTAACAAGACAAATAATCTTACACATTCTGAAAACAAGATTATTATTCTTACACAACCAGTTCTTGTTTAGTAAATCTGTCTCAAAACAAGATCAAAAAGACTTTTTGGCTGATATAAGATTTTAAAACTTGGTTACGTGGACATTTTTTGCAGTGTGAGGACCTGGATATCATCCATCCATCCATTTTCTTCCGCCTATCCGGGGTCGGGTCGCGGGGGCAGCAGCTTCAGAAGGGAGGCCCAGACCTCCCTCTCCCCAGCCACTTCTTCCAGCTCCTCCGGGGGAACTCCAAGGCGTTCCCAGGCCAGCCGAGAGACATAGTCCCTCCAGCGTGTCCTGGGTCTTCCTCGGGGCCTCCTCCCGGTGGGTCGTGCCCGGAACACCTCACCAGGAAGGCGTCCAGGAGGCATCCTTACCAGATGCCCGAGCCACCTCAACTGGCTCCTCTCGACGTGGAGGAGCAGCGGCTCTACTCTGAGTCCCTCCCGGATGACTGAGCTTCTCACCCTATCTCCAAGGGAGA